AGCATCCCTTATACGTTTCTGCTCTGTCTCCTGTCACTGCCTTAAGTCATCTCTGCTCCTCTCCTCAGCCCATGTGACCGGTGGAAGATGGCCACCCCACCTGTCCACATGACATTTTCCTAGATCCTCTGGAAAGACTGACTTGACCCTGGAGGGGAGGAAGGGGTACCCAAATTGCCATGAGAGGGCATCTGATTGGTCTGTTTTAACCACATGACTATCCTTGATGCAGCAGCTATGATGGGGGTGGGGGCAGGGTAGGTGTCTATATGAGGTGCCAGGGGCCTTTGACCTGTGGATGGAGGGGGGATAGTTTCCAAAGCTGGGGAATTCTTGGGAGTTGGGAAGTCACTGCTCCCCCTACATCAAGTATCTAAAAGTCTGCTCAAAAAGTCAGACCCTGGCCCTTGTTGGTATGCTCAGTGGTTAGAGTGTCGGTCCACACACCGAAGTGTCCCATGCAGGCTTGATTCCCGGTCCAGAGCTCAGACCTGAGTTGCAGTTTCTACCCCTGGCCCTGGTTGGGGCAGGTGCTGGAGGCAACCAATCGATATGTCCCTCTCACATCATCAATGTTTCTGATGTTTCTCTTTCTCTCCCTCCCTCCCACTCTCTCTAAAAAGCAATGGAAAAAAATATCCTCGAATGAGGATTAACAACAACAACAAAAGTCAGTCCCTGTAACACCCTCAGTGATTGGGGGATTAACCACTCTGTTTTCCAGTGTGGCACCCCCTGTTCTGCTGGCGTTTGCAAAGCTGCAAGCCCTGGCTCATTGAGCTCTGTGCTGACCATTAGCACCCACACTCCAGCCCATGCCTCGTTGCCCGGGTCCTTCTGTCCCTCCTTTGCACCCTTCTTAGGGTCTCCGGTCTTCCTTGCCAAGGGCAGAGTAGGTCCTGGAAGATGGTGGAAAAGAGGTGTGTGTGTGAGCCCCTGTGGGATTCCTAAGTCATCCCCCGAGTCCCCCTTTGCACTCCTAAGGACTGGAATGCCCATCCTGTCTCCTCCCTGACCAGTACCCATTCTGTCTACCTCTGGGCGACTCTCCCCGGTCTGTGTGTTGTGTGCATGTCCATCTGTTGCCCTGGCTCTCTCCTCCCCTCTCTCTCTGTCACCTGAGTGGAGGAGACCTGGAATCCAGGTCCTGCTCTCAGACCTCACCCATCCCCATTCACAGCTGTGCGCCTTCCCTTCTCCTCAAACAGAGAAGCACTGTGCTGGAGCCCAGGTGGAAGAAGGAATCTTAATCTAGCAATTATTGATTCAGGAGGGCCTTGGAAGACATAGTTACATAAAAACCATAAGTTATGGAAGTTAGGTACTTTAAGTACCTAAGGGGAGGGAAGGGGCTAAGAATGTGCTCCTAATTCAGGCCCAGAGCTCAGGATCTGGCCATACCAAGGGGCAGGCCTGGGAGCAGTGCGGGTGGTAGTCAAACCTGGGGTGGGAGGCAGGAGGCCTGGGTAGGGAGCAGGGGAAAGGCGAGGGTTGGGAATAATGAGGGGAGGGCAGTTGTCCTAATACCTTAATTCAGCGGTTCTCAACCTGTGGGGCGCGACCCCTATGGGGGTCAAACGACCCTTTCACAGGGGTCGCCTAAGACCATCAGAAAACACATATATCATTACATATTGTTTTTGTGATTAATCACTATGCTTTAATTACGTTCAATTTGTAACAATGAAAATACATCCTGCATATCAGATATTTACATTATGATTCATAACAGCAGCAAAATTACAGTTATGAAGTAGCAACGAAAATAATTTTATGGTTGGGGGTCACCACAACATGAGGAACTGTATTAAAGAGTTGCGGCATTAGGAAGGTTGAGAACCACTGCCTTAGATGTTCTGAGCAGCTGAGAGGAAAAGCCCAGGTCTAGATGATATTTGCATATGCGTTGAATATCACCAATTAGGTGTTGTAACCCCAAGGAAACAGATGGTGCAAATTGGGACGAGGGAAGGCAGTTTAATAAAAGAACGGTTTACCAAGCTGTGGGGAGTGATCCGGAACCACATGGGAGTGCTCACCGTGGGTCTCCGGGGCTGGTGAGGAGGCGGTGGTACCCCTGGGTGTGAGGGGGGAGGGAGAGAGGGGATGATTACTGAAACCTGGAGGCACAGAAGCTAGAACCAAGGTTCTGACAGGAGCGCACTCTGCTGCCTCCTTCCTCTACCCTCCCTCCTCCTATGTCCTGCCAGTGCCGTCCCCCCACCATTGGTCAAACAGAGGGAAGGGGTCCCTGGATGCTGCTCAGGCACAGAGCAGGAAGGAGGAGAGAAAGTGGAGGGACATATAGAAGGCATCTAGCACAGGGGTCAAAGGGCAAAAGGAAATCCCTCCAGGGTATCAGAAGAGTTCTCACAAAGGGGTGCTCACTGTCTGCCAGGCACTGTTCCAGGCCCTTTAAAGATAGTAATTCCTTTAATACTTACATCTGTGGAGGGAGCTGATTTTGCCCCTGGGAGCAGGATGGGGCAGAGTAAGGGAGAAGGGGGCACTCCTGGGCACACACATTGTGTGGTCATGGGGTATCCCCTTGAAGCCTTGCAGCAACGCAAGGGCAAGGAGGGTGTTAGCCATTTCACACACAAGTGAGGAAGCTTAGGCCTGGAAGGAACCATCCTACTGTGATTCTCCAGACCTGGGGTGAGGTAGTGGCACTAGGAGGGGAAGAGAGAGGAGGGTTTGGGAGCAAAGGCTCTTAGAGAGGGACGAACCCCAGGGGCCTAGTCTCAGGGAGGCTGGCAGAATCCCCTTGGGGTCACTCACCTGGGGGCTCCAGGCTACCCCCCCCCAGTGGAAGTGATTCTGATTGGTTCCACCATGCACCCCTTTCATTTCACAGGTGAGGAAAGTGACACCAGGAGGTCACGCAGTGAGAGGCCTGAGGCCCGGGGAGCCTGGTGACATAGTGGATGGCCTCTGAGGAGAGCTGGGAGCTGGTTCAGATGGTGTAAGGGAGGCCACAGGGGAGCTATCCAACCTTCCCTTTGGTTTAGGGAACCAAAACTAGTTTTTAAAAAGGATTAATTTTTAATAGACTAGGTAATATTAGACATATTTATTATTCAAAAATGAAAATAATATAAAAGGTTTATATTGAGAAGGCCAGATCACGATTTTGCTATTTATAGGTAACCATTTTTTATTGGTTTGATTTTTTTTCAGTGTATGTTAATGCTAAGATAAGGAAATAGAAATATACATTCTTGTCTTTACCCTCTTTTTACACAAAAGGTGGCATGCTATTACCCTGTTGTGCACCTTGCTTTTTTTCACTTAATATATCTGGAGAGTTCTCCATATTAAAATCTAGAGAAAACCTCATTCTTTTCTAGAGCTGCACAGTATCCCATTACAAAGATCCAGGTACTGGGTTGTTACCCGTCTTTTCTTACTTCTCAGAATGCCACCGGAATTATCTTGTGCCTCCCTGACTTTGCAGACGTGCAGGTGCCTCTGTAGTCAATTTTGCTTCTCGATAACCTGTGATGAAGAAACAGGTTTTACTTATCAATTTACAGCCTGTCGCAGGTGGATGATCATGTAAAATGTGATAAACGTGAATCCCTAGGGAAGTGAATTGGAAAAAAACAAAACAAAACACAAACAACCTGCAAAATAAAAGCCCAAATATTTTTTTATTAGATCCAATAGACATAAAAAGTATTCTGTCAGCCCTGACCGGTTTGGCTCAGTGGATAGAGCGTCGGCCTGCGGACTCAACGGTCCCAGGTTCGATTCCGGTCAAGGGCATGTACCTTGGTTGCGGGCATATGCCCAGTAGGGGGTGTGCAGGAGGCAGCTGATCGATGTTTCTCTCTCAGTGATGTTTCTAACTCTCTATCCCTCTCCCTACCTCTCTGCAAAAAAATCAATAAAATATAAATTAAAAAAAGTATTCTCTCAAATAACTATGCAGGTTTTTAAACACTTACTCTCCAATGTCTGCATTGATCTTGCCACAGAGTCATCAGAGCTCCTACTGGTCCATGGACCATACTCTGAGTAGCACTGATCTAGACTCCCACGATTAGGTCAAAGGGTAAGCGCCTCTGTTGTTTTTCCAGATGCCCCGCCACGGCTGTGCCATTTTGCACACCCACCAGCAGTACATGAGGGCGCCTCCTTTCCCACAGCCTCACCAACAGTGGTCTAACTTGGATTTTTGCTAAACCGATAGGTGAGCAGAGGTATCTTAGGCTAAGTTTTAATTTGCATTGCTCTTATTATGAATGAGAATAAGTGTCATTCATGTTTTTAAGCCCAGTTTGCATTTATATTCATTTTCTACAAGACTGTTGGTTTTTTTCTTCTTGATTCCCAGGAGTTATTTACATAGCAGAAATATTAGCCTCTTTGTCTGTGATATGAATTGCAAATACTTTTTCCAGTTTGTTATTTGATTTTGCTTAACATTGTTTTTTGAGGGGTAGGGGGAAAGGGAGGCATGCAGAAGTTTGTGGGTTTTTATGCATATTTTCTATACTAACTTCTGGATTTGAGTCATGGTTCTCCACTCCAAGGTTATAAAGATTACTGCCCACATTTTCTTCTAGTATTTTGTTGGTTTTATTCTTAGCATGTAATCTTTTATCCAGTTGGAATTTTTCCTAGTATAAGGTGTAAGTTATGGGCCCAAATTTATCTTTTTATAACTGGCTATTCATTCGTCCTAGCTCCATTTATTAAAGTCCCTAAGATACCACTTTTATCATTAAAACAAATTTTAAGCCATTTGGGATCATAATAGGAAAAGCTCTATAATTTGTCAGTTCCGTGTAGAATACCATTCCAAGGGAAATTAGCTTTCAAGCTATGATCTATAACTTTGTATTTCTAGAGCAGAATAAACTCTAAGTAACATAAATTTATTTAAACAAACAAAAACCAAACCTGTGGGGCCACTGACATCCACGAGGAACGTGGGAGAAGTGGGCCTTGCCGAGGGAGCACGTGGTGAGCCTGAATGTTTGCCTTGCAGGTCCTCCCCGGCCTGCCTGCCACTGGGAGCCAGGACCCAGAGGGGCCCACCATGGTACTCCTGGGACCCCTGGCTGCCACCCTGTTGCCGCCCAGCCTCGCACTGCTGGTCTTCCACCTCTCCAGCTCCCAGGATGTCACCAGCGATCCCGGCCGTGAGCAGCAGCTGTGCGCCCTGAGGGAACACCCCACCGTGGCCTTTGCAGGTGAGAGACGCTGTACATGCGCAAGTCTACGGCTCTTTCTGCAATGACATGTCTGAAGGACTCAGTCTCACCTAGGACTCAGATGCGTAAGGACAGCAGCCATGGGCGGGATGGGTCTGACTTTAGTCTCCAGACAATGTGTCCACGCCCTTCTCTCTATTTACCTGGGAGGCGGGGCCTTCCTTTGCTGGAGAAAGAGGTGTGGATCCCCTGGCTGGTCGGTCTCTCAGCTCTGGCTCTTCTGGAAGCATGAGCTCTGCTTCTTGGCTTTTCTGGGGGGAAGACGAGGATGACTCAGTCCTTGGAAGTGTCTCGTGATCTCTGCACAGCCTCCTTCAGCTCTAAGACGGCTGCAGGGATGCCCGTCTTTGAGGTCCTTGGAACCCCTGGGAAAGGGGCCCCAGTGACAGGTAACTCCTTTGGTCTGTCAAGGGAGGGCATGGGAGTGTCTAGCTGAAGTGTTTCCCAAGCTGGGATGTGTGAATCGCTGGGCAGTTTTCACTAAGTTTCTAAAATTAGTACATACGTTTGATGATCATCTAAAAACAAAGCAAAAACAAACACTGGAGCCGAAACCGGTTTGGCTCAGTGGATAGAGTGTCGGCCTGCGGACTGAAAGGTCCCAGGTTCGATTCCGGTCAAGGGCACGTACCTGGGTTGCGGGCACATCCCCAGTGGGAGATGTGCAGGAGGCAGCTGATCGATGTTTCTCTCTCATCGATGTTTCTAACTCTCTATCTTTCTCCTTTCCTCTCTGTAAAAAATCAATAAAATATATTTTAAAAAAAACACACACAAAAAGACAAATACTGGAGCTTCCTGGATGTTCTCCCCCGACCTGGGAGCCAGGGTGGGGGACCCTGGTGGTGTTACATCACATCAGTACTTCAGATCCATTGCCTTGCGGGAGCTCACACTGATGTCATCTCAGGGGTCCCCAGATCCTTAAGTCTGATAAACACCTATCCTGTCTCCCCTTCACTATAACCCTGGCTGGGAGGCAGGGCAAGGCCACCACCCTTTTTGACAAATGCGGGCGGAAGTGCAGAGGGTTGGGAAGACTGGTCAGAGCCTCCTGACTTGGCCCAGGCAGAGTAATGGAGCGCTCGACCCTCTGGTGCCCAGGCAGGAGGAGCAGCCCGTCCTCTGGGATGCTACAGCCCGTCAGGAGGGGCCAGATGGAAACCAGCGCTGCCCTGGCTGGTTTGGCTCAGTGGATAGAGCGTTGGCCTGCGGACCGGTCCCGGGTTTGATTCCGGTCAAGGGCACATGCCTGGGTTGCTGGCTCGATCCCCAGTGGAGGGCATGCAGGAGGCAGCCGATCGATGATTCTCTCTTATCATTGATGTTTCTGTCTCTCTCTCCCTCTTCCTTCATCTCTGAAATCAATAAAAATATATTTTTTAAAAAAAGATGGAAACCAGCACAGAAAAATAAACACATGAGTTGGAGGCTGGCATGGGATTGAGGGCTGGGGAGCCCTAGGAATAGGAGTTGGGGGCTGTGCGGGGGAAGGCTGGGGCGTTTAGAAGTGTGGGGTTCCCAGCAGTGGGCTGCTCCTGTCTCCTGTCTTGGGGAAGTTTTCCAGCTGGTTTCTCTGTGCTGTTTTCTCTGTCTTGCTTGAGCGGGGATCCAGGCTTTGAAGGCTTAAGTGGATTATGGTAAATTAACAATCCCTTTAAGCCTACAAAACTGAGCATGCACACCCTCAGACTTCTGATGCCCCTGAGGAGCTACTGGTGGCTGTCCCTGAAGGGAAGGACCAAGTGGGGGACAGAAGGAGCCAGATTCTGAAGGTTGAAGATTGTCCCCTTCACAGAGGGCTCCCCTGTGGCGGCTCCTAATACAACATTTCTCCTCAGGGCTTCCCAGGGGCACTACTAGCTAACTGTGGGGCAGGGACAATGGGATGAGCGCAGAGGACCCCTGTCCCCCAGCCAGGCTGCTCTATACTGGGGGTGGGGATGGCTGGGGGTGGAAGATGTGTTCCTTGAGTTCCTGGCTTCCTTGACCCCATTTTGTATCTTCACGTGTAAATCACTTGACTTGCCACCGCACCCCTTTCAGGATGAGGGGATGAGGCTCAGGGTGACATCGATGGTGACATAGAGTCATGAGGGTTTCCCTTCTTTCCGGGCAAGAGGAGACGGTCTGTCGCCTGGGACCGGCAGCCCTGCGGAGTGGCGTCCTCTCTGCTTCTCCCCAGCCCTCCTGCCCTCCACCAGCTCACCCCCTTCCCCATCCTGACAGCTCTGGCTTTTCCTGTCCACTCGCTAACTTTTTATTGGGCCCTGCTTGGTGCCGGGCACAGAATGGGACCCAGTGGGGCCTCGGAGGTGAGCAAGAGCCTCTTCGGGGTACTCACGTGCCTCTCATTGCTTCTTCAATGTCACTCCCCGGTGGCCTCCAATGCAGTTGGTCCTGGCCCAGGACTAGTCCGTCCTGCTGTCTCCCCACACCCTTCTGCACAGCTGAGTAAGCACTGGGGACTAGTGATGGACTGTCTTCTGGGTGACACCGTGTTCTAGAGAAGTTGCCATAACCCATCCCAGCACAACCCCCAGCTTCCAGGGTTCCCTCAGATGTTGCACTTTATTTCCGACCCCATAGCTCTGAGTTTCCTTCTCCCCGGACACCTGACTGATCTGGGAATAACCCCTCGGTTCCCAGAGGAGCTACCAGGGACAGGGTCTGACATCCTCCTGTTGTGGAAGGTTACAGTCTCTGCTGTGTGTTTCTTTTAAGGGGAGCCCACCTGTGTTTCTCTCTTTTTTTAATATATATATTTTTTATTTTAAGTATATTTTTATTGATCTCGGAGAAAAAGGGAGATGGAGAGATAGAAACATCAATGATGAGAGAGAATCATTGATCAGCTGCCTCCTGCATGCCCCCCCACTGGGGATCGAGCCCACAACCCCAGACATGTGCTCTTGACTGGAATCAAACCCCAGACCTTTCAGTCCGCAGGCTGACGTTCTATCCATTGAGCCAAACCGGCCAGGGCCACCTGTGTTTCTCTTTGGCCCTCACGGTACTCCTCTCGCCATGGCATGGCCTTCCCAGGCAGCAGGAGAAGCCAGTATGGAGTTAATGCTGGCAGTGGTTAATCCACAAAGTGGGTAATTGAATTGACTATACATAATTAAAATCACAGGCGCGTCATGGAGAATGTCATTTTTCTCTTAAAGACGCTGTCCAAAGCCTTCGCTGCACACGGAGCTCGGACGTGCTTGGTGTTTTAAAGACAGCCCTCCCTCTGGTCCTCTTTGCCTGTTTAATCGGAGGAAGCTGGCTGCCTTCCCAAGAAGGCTCCCCCGATCACGGGGCGGCACATCTCCCCCTTTCCTCTTGGCCCACGTTGGCCCCTTCTGTGTTAGGGGAGAGGGACAGAAACTGGAAGGGGCCACCACCCATCCCTCCCCTGACTCCCCCCAGTTGTCATCCTGGCTCCTGCCCTGTTTCCTCTCCCTCTTCCCTCCTCCCCAAGGACCCATCTCAGCAAAGACTGAGCTGAGAAGTCCCCAGATGGAGTTCCTCCTGGTTTGCTGCAGACCAGTCATGCCACCTCTTGCCCTGTTTGGCTGCCACATCTGGAATACCTCTGTTGGAAGGGGAGAGAATTAACGTGTGACCCAGTTGCCACTTTTGGGGAGCACCCAGTCTGATGGGCAAGCTCTTTCACACTGCCCCCCCCCCGCCCCGTGAGAAAACACACTTGAGCACATTGAGTGACAATAACATACAATGTGAATGGAACAGAAAGGGTAGAGAGAAGGTAGACCAAAATAAGATCACCTGGAGGGGAAATAATCCAGGAGAGCTTCCTGGAGGAAGAGGACCCTTGGCTTAGTCTCTCAGGTAGTATAATATCCTATCAGGATTTCTGAGAGTGGCCCTGAGGTCAGCTAAAAACCCAGTCTACCTGACTGCAAATCTACTTCTTGTACTGATACTGCAAAAATGTCATTGCAATTACATGACAATTGTTGCCAATCCATAGTCACCTGCTGGGGGCAGAGGCAGAACCAAGGGGTTGGCTTCATTTTGTTGCAGAATTCCTTTCTTATTTTTTTAAATTATGCATAACACAGTTTTCTAAAAAATATCCAACTCGTAAAACCTCCAGTTCTCCAGCGAGCGATTAAGTGTTTGCCTGTTGTGCAGAAATGAAGGGCTGCTTTTACTCTGTAGTGGAGGGATAATGAGCAATGATTTATTTCCCTTGGATTACACACACATACACACTCCTTTGGGCCTCCTGTGAGCCAGTCGCTAATGCGCCGTGGGGAGAAAGCACAGGGCCTCACATTCCCCCCTCGTCTTTACCCCATCAGCATGAATGTTCCTCTGCTCAAGGCTCTCTCGTTACTGGTCAGTTCCCTCCCATCCATGAGGCAGGGGTGAGGGGCAGCTATTACATGGCCATGCACTGAGGTGGGAGAAGCAGGCCTCCACAGAAGGGAAAGAAGGAGTCACCCGGGTACTGTTGCCCAGGCCTGCCCTCCCCACACCGCTGCCCATTCATCCAGAGGGCTGCACAGTCTCCTCTCTGCCCACCCAATGCCCATGAAAAGTGTTGGCCTTGTCTGGGAAGACCTTTCCTTGGAGACAGGGATGGACATTGGTCGCCCACCCTCTGTGGAGCCTTGTCTGATAACTCGATTCTTCTTGTACAGAAAGAAGGGAGCTGAGGATTATTCATCCATTCATTCAAACACTGCCAAGTGCTGGGAGAAGCCTGGCACTCCAAGAAGCAAGATCTTCTCTGTCCCCCAGGACAAACCACTGAGATAGAAACCCAGGGATATGGGGATGTTGATAGCAGTAAAGTAGAGGTCTCTGGGAGCCCCTTACTCAGGTTGGGGGAGTCAGGGAAGGCTTCTTGGAGGAGTGGGGTAGGGAGGACAGAAGTGCAAGAGTGTGCAGGCTCTTGTGGACTAGATTGGAGAAGTGCACAGTGTTCTGGTTTAGTGTGGCTGGGTGGGGAGTCTAAAGGGGATGTGAAAGATGAAGCATCATTCTTTCCATGGATCACGAAATCATGGCTGTGCCAGGCATCTGACTTGGGGGGACAGTGGGGCCACGGGTTGAGACTTTTTCTCCAGCAGCTTTCACAGGCTCCAGCTGGAGCGTGACACAACCGGATTTGCATTTTGGAAAGATAACTCTGGTTGCCCTATGGGAAATGGGCTGGAAGGGCAGGAGTGGAAGCCAGGCCTGTGAGGAGGCTGTTGGCACCAGTCCAGGCTAGAGTTGCTGGTGGCTGGATGGGGATGGGGTGCAGAGGGCAAGATGGATGGATTTCAGAGAGAGTTGGATGTATACCAGTCAGGATTGGCCAGCGTGTTTGATGCAGCTGGCGAGGGTCTGAGGGAGTTAAGGGTGATTACAGGTCTCCCTTTGGGCAGCTGGGGCAGGTGGAGCCCTTTTCTGAGCTAGGGAACAAAGCAGGAACAGTGACAGCATCCCACCCCTGCTCTCCACCAGCTGGCTGCTCACAGGTCTCTTGGCGCCCCCTGCCTCACTGCACCCTGACTTCACGCTGACCGATTCTTCACCCTTCCATTACCCTGTCCAGTGCTGGGCAGCTGGTACCCTGGTCAGTGGTAACTGGGTGTTTGCCTCTCTCCCTTCCCCAGACCTGAAGCCCTGGGTCTCTAACTTCACCTACCCTGGAGCCCGAGACTTCTCCCAGCTCGCTCTGGATCCCTCCAGGAACCAGCTCATCGTGGGAGCCAGGTAAAATGGGGCAGGAGGGTTGGGGTCAAGAGTGCAGGTGCTTAGAATTGGGTGGAGGGAATGTTGTTTGGGGTGAGCCTACTGTGGGCATTCTCGTGTCCTGGGCTCCTGCTCCTCTCAGCCAGGCCCTCTCTGTGCCTGAATGTCTGTCTCCCACAGAAGGAAGCATTTGGGGCTGGGGGTGGAGAAGTGACCTCCAGATCTCAGCAAGCCACATACCTCCATGGCTGGCAGTTACTGAGAGCGGCCTCCTCCTGTCCCCTGTCCCTGCCATGCGGCCAGACCCAGCCTAGCTGGCACCCTCCCTGGGAGCTCCGAGCAGAGAAGGTGCCCAGGAGCCTCCTGCTGGCCGGCCGGCCACCTGCACCTGGGACTCCCCGACACAGGCCTTGCGCTTCTTTTAGGCAGGACCTGGCTTCCCTGTTATCTGACCTCCTTTAGTCCCACTGTCCAGGGCCAGTATCCAAAGGATAACACGCTCTAGGGAGAACTTATGGGGACTTTATGGGGTGGAGCAGGAGGAGATAATTCTCACAAAATTATAGATCATGAGTTCCGGTAGGGAAGGGAGCTCAGAGATGGGTGATTCCAGTGGGTCTCAAAGAGTGGACCAGCCACACCAGCAACGTCTGGGAACTTGTTAGAAAGGCAGATCCTTGGGCTCCACCCCGACCTGCTGACCAGAAGCTCTGGGGGCCAGCAGCCTGCACTTCAGCAGCCCCTCCAGGGAGTCTGAAGCACACTCAGGCTTGAGAGTCGCTGGTCTAATCCAACTGCCTTTGATGTGAACATGAAGAGGCAGAGAGGCCTGTTGAGGGCAAGGTGACCTTCTCAAGGTAATAAAGCCAGATGACAACAGTGCTGAGGACAGAACCCAGGTCCCCTGAGCCCAGGGCTGGAGTTTGTTCTGCCAGTCCGTGTAGTCCCTCCTCCTGCAGTGGTGTGTTTCAGACGCTCTCCACCCCAGAGGTCCTGATTCTGCTGTTCTGGGGCTTCGGGAGGATGATCACCAGGTGGCTGACCAGCCTTGATGTCTGGACTTTCCTGAGTGTTCCCGTCCCCTCACTGTTGTATGACAAGGGGCAGGTGAGGACAGAGCTCTGGATTAGGACCCGAGGAGTTGCATTCTTGTCCTCGGTGATCTTCTTTACCTTTGTTGTTGTTGTTATTAATCCTCACAGCAGGATATTTTTTTCTACTGATTTTTTTTAGAGAGAGTGGAAGGGAAGAGAGACAGAGGGAGAGAAACATCAATGTGAGAAAGACACATTGATTGGTTGCCTCTGCATGCACTCCCGACCAGCGCTGGGGATCAAGCCTGTGACTGAGGTACTTGCCCTTGACCAAAATCAAACCTATAGCCCTGCGGTCTGAGGGCCTACACTGACCACTAAGCAAACTGGCTAGGACTGATCTTCACCTTTGAGCCTCAGTTTCTTTATCTGTAAGGTCTGGGTTACAGTCTCTGTGCTGCCACCCTCACAGGGCGATGGCGAAGCTGGGCTGAAAGCATTTCACTTTTTATTTATTTTCTAACTATTTTTTTTATTCCTCACTTGAGGACATGCTTAGAGAGAGGAAGGGATAGAGAGAGAGAAACATGGATTATTTGCCTTCCATTGGTGCCCCTATCGGGGATCAAACCCGCAGTCCAGGTATGTGCCCTGACCAGGAATTGAACTAGTGACCTTCCAGTGCACAGAATGAAGCTCAACCAACTGAGCCACTCCGGCCAGGTTAATTTTTATTTTTAAAAGAACCAGTCACAGTGCATCGGTGCTATGTGTTCTGGTATAACATTCAGAAGGTACAAAATAGTATACAGTGAAGAGGAGGGCCACCCCTCCGCACTCCAAGCAGGACCCCTCCTTGGGGGCACGCCCTGCGGTGAGTGTGTGTGTCTGCCCAGAGGTAATCTGTACATGGGCAAGTCTACAAGAGTATGGATTTCATGTTCCAGCTCAGAGAGTAATTGTTCTACTTTTTTATTTTGAGATACTCATAGATTTACATGCAGTTGTAAGAACTAACCCAGAGAGATTCAAACCATAAGCCTTCCACCCAGTTTCTCTTAATGATAACATCTTGCATAACAGCTGAACAGCATTAGTCAGGAAGCTGACCGATAAGAGCCTTCCACCGCATTCAGGTCCCATCTGTTTTCCGTGTGTACTTTTAAAACCCTGATGTCTGGCTCTGGACTGTGTGGAAACATTTTAGAAGCTGTCATTCATCCTGTGCCGGCCGTGCGCCAGGCACTGTCTTACGTACCATGTATGTAGTGAAGCATCTAAAACATGTAGGCCGTCAGCCATGTAAAAACGCATCTAATCTTCACAAGAACCCCAGGGATGGTGTTCTATGAGTAGCCCCATTGTATGGACCCGGAAACTGAGGCTCAGAAGGAGAGGTGGCCTGCCTGTGGTCACACTGCTCTTCCCGACCCAATCTGAGGCTTCCCCCACACGGTGGACACATACCTTTTCCTATCCTTGTTTCCCCCCAATCCTGGCTGTGCCCCAAGGATCAGGGGTGGGGGGGGACCAGCCCTGGACTTGCCCCTTGCACCCCTTGAAACAAATGAAGTGGGTCCTTGGCTTCTTTCTCCTCCCTTTCTTTCGGTCACTTTCCTTCCTCCTCTCCTGCCTGTCACATTTCCCCCTCCTTTCTGAGCCCCTGGGCCTCTGGAATTCCGGCTAGGGGACATATTTTTGCTCCTTTACACCCCGCCTTGTTTCCTGAGGGATTTAGAGCGGGTCAGGCTACAGAGATTTCTCTCTGTTCTCATCTCCCAGAAGAGCAGACCTCGACGACGTTGTGATGAATGATTTTTGATGGGATGAAAATGAAAACATAAAAAAGTGATGCAATGTTTCCCCTCATTCTTTAAAGCTGTGGCTGGATGCCTGAGTTACCTAGCAGACAGCCTGGGCAGAGCCATTAGCCACAGCCCATCTGTCCCCAGGCCAGGAGGGAGAGGGTGGGGCAGCCCTTCAGGGCAGGCGGCTGGGGAGGGGCAGCAGGAGCCTGGAGCCAAGGTCATGGGTGAGGCCCGCTGGACAGCAGAGCAGCTGAGTGAGGCCTGGGCCAGCAGCCAGAGCTGGGGAAGAGGAGTCCCCAGCCCGAGCGGTCTCCTCCAGGCCCTGGGTTCATTTGGCAGGGCCCCTCTGCATTCTGGCCCACTCCACAACCTTTCCCCTCATTTCTCTTCCCAGCACAGCTGAGGGAGGCCAGAGCTTTCCAAAGCAATTACTTCTAAAAACTCCAGGAATGAAAAGAGGAATGACCAAAGATGTATGAAGGAGAGAAGACTCTTAGGGAAAACCAGTATTTTACATCTGCTTGACATTAATAAAGCATCTTAACATGCATCTTACCATTCATTGCCCTGTCTCCACCACCCTGTGAAAGAGGAAGGACAGCCACATCCTTTGCAGACGCTGAGGTGCTCAGAAGGCCCCTCACAAGCAACTGAGCTGGACTCCCCCGTCTCTGCCCCAGGGTCTATGCTGTGAACCTGCACTCTTACGTGGCCCTCGGACCGGTGGTTCTGTCACCCTCAGGTCCATGCAAGGGGGCCTTGTGGCTCCAGAGCAATTTCAGCAGTGCCTGACACTGTGTGCTCAATAGGTAACATCCTCATTAAGATTCTTTTAAAAATATATACATATGTTTTTTAATTGATTTCAAAGAGGAAGGGAGAGGGAGTGATAGAAACGTCAGTGATGAGAGAGAATCCCTTGATCGGCTGCCTCCTGCATGCCCCACACTGGGAATCGAGCCCAAAACCTGGGCATGTGTCCCAATAGGGAACTGAACCGTGACCTCCTGGTTCATAGGCCGACACTCAACTACTGAGCCACACCGGCTGGGCAAGACTCTTTTTTTGAGCAGTTTTAAGTGCACAGCAAAATTAATGGGAAGGTACAGAGAATTTCTATATACCCTCAGCCCTACATGTGCAACCTCCCCCATTGGAGCGGTAAGTCTGTTACAATTGATGAACCTACATGGGCACATCATTATCTCCCAATGTCCACAGATTATGTTATGGTGCACTGGTGGTGGTATGCATCCTCTGGGTTTGGACAAATTTATAATGATATGTATCCATGATTATGGCATCATACAGAGCATTTTCACTGCCCTGAACATTCTCTGTGCTCTGCCTGTTCATCCATTCCCTCCCACCACCAACTCCTGGCAGCCACAGATCCCCTTTACTGTCCCATAGCTGTGTCTTTTCCAGAATGTCATATAATTGGAATCAGACAGTATGAAGCCTTTTCAGATGGGCTTCTTTCATTTAGTAATATGCACGTAAGGTCCCTCTGTGTCTTGTTATGGCTTTATAGCTCATTTCTTTTTAGCGCTCAGTAATATTCCATTTTCTGGGTGGACCATGGGTTACTTATCTATTCACCTACTAAAAAACATCTTGGCTGCTTCCAGGTTGGGCGATTATGAATAAAGCTGCTATAAACATTCCACGTGCAGGGTTTGTGTGGACATATTTCCTTAAGGTTTCTGAGCAGCAGGCTGATCTGATGAAAATGGTGTTTGAGGAATCCGAGTCTGGCAGCCCGGTGCCGGCTAGACCATGGGGAAGAGCATCGCGAAGAGGCAGAGGGGGCGATTGGGCGTGAAAAGACAGGTGGTCCAGGGAGGTGGCCATGGGAAAGTCAGACCCAGAGTCACTGGGCCTGTTTGAGGAGGGGAATGGGTCCGGGAAGGAGGTGAGGGGAGAAGGCAGGTGGCCTGCCTGGGTCCCTACAAGAGCTGCAGGAGGCTTTAGCTTAAACAGAAACAGGCTCCAGGGGTGGGAAAGTGGTGGAGGCTCTTCCTGGACCTGCCAGGGTGGCCAGACACGTGTAATAGACAAGTCTGGGTTTTAACTCGTCCTTGGGCCATGTACCCACCCTGTTTCCTCGTCTGTAAAATGGCTTTTTTTTTTCTCTGTGCTCCTGGGGCTGCTGTGAGGATTCCATGAGCTAGGGGAGGTGAAGCTCTCCTTGGGGGTCCACTTACCGAAGACCCTCTGCACTCGGCACCTGTCCTGGCACCCGGCGTGTGAGGCAGGAGCAGCTGCCTTCCAGGACTGGCCTACGGGCCCAGCTTGACTGATGATTTCCGTCTTTGTTTTCACAGGAACTACCTCTTCAGGCTCAGCCTTGCCAATGTCTCCCTCCTTCAGGTACATTTGCTTCCCTTCCCTTCCCTGTAATATCCCTGGGATTTGGGAGCCCAGCTGGGGCAGCGCAAAGAGCAAGATTCACAATTTAACCCCTAACATGGAAAACAGGAGCCCCGGGCTCCTTTCACTGGCCATGGACTCCCCCTGGCTGTCAAGGTGATTGCTGGGAAGATCATTGGAAGCAGGGGTGAGGCCACGCGAACAGGGAGGCAGGGAGGCATGCACAGGGCTCCTTCCTGCGAGGAGGGGAGGAAAGGAGGCCCAGAGCTCGGTGGCCCTGGCCCTGCTTGCCTGGGCCTGACGAGTCTCAGGGTGCTGGACCTGCAGTGCTAAAGCCAGGACAGGACTGGGAAAACAGAACGGGTGGGTCATTCTAAATCCAGCGCCTAATCCACAGGAAGGCCTCTGAGTTTGGGCCTCAAGGGTCGGGATGCTGCTGGTTCCTTTCCTAGCCTGGCCTGCGTAACCCCTTCTCACCCAGCAGCTCCACTGAGCTGTGATTTGTTAATTATTTACTGCCAAGGACTCCCAAGCCTCATTCCCCAAGTGCCCTGGGTGAGAAGGCATGTTAATGGGCCTTCTTGATCCAGAACATTTGTCCCAGATTGAGAAACAGCTGTCACACCATCTCTGCAGGGGCTGAACATTCTGGAGAAAGGATGGCCGTCTCTTCTTCTTCGATGAGGAGAGAGCCCCCGTCCTCCTGTCCAAGAGGCTTGCTCGTCTCTCAGGGATCAAGTATCCATTCAGCGCTTGCTGTGTGTCCGAACTGAGCTGGGGCAGAGGGGCAGTGAGACAAGCAGAGCCTCTGACCCTCCGGTCTCACACTGCAGCCTAAAGAAGTTGATGAGTGATGCACAAAACTAGGGAATGGTACGAGGAGTTAGTCAGGCGCTGGGCTGTTTGGTATACAGTCTCACTGCAGAGGCCAGTTGGAAAAGGGGAGACCTCCTTGGTGAGCTGGTGTGACATTCTGGTCTGGTTTTTTCTTGCTTCACCTGGGTCTACACCCCACGAGCCATTGCCGCTGGTTTCCAGAGGGGAGGTTGAAGGGAACAGAAGAGACCTATCCTTCAGTCTATACCCTTACTGGCCAACTCACCTATGCATCCATCTAACCCCGTGGTCGGCAAACTGTGGCTCGCAAGCCACATGCGGCTCTTTGGCCCCTTGAGTGTGGCTCTTCCTAAGCCTTAGGAGTACCCTAATTAAGTTAATAACAATGTACCTACCTATATTTAAAATATAGTTTCTTTAAAAATTTGGCTCTCCAAAGAAATTTCAATCGTTGTACTGTTGATATTTGGCTCTGTTGACTAATGAGTTTGCCAACCACTGATCTAACCAGCTGTAATAACCATTGTTGAATACCTTGCTAAAGCCCAGCTCCAGTCCTAGGCGTGGTCCCAGGCATTTAAGATCCAAAGGTGAATCAGGTTCTATCCCTTGCCTCAAGGAGCACGTATATGAGGGACTATAAATGATCCCCTTTCCTGGATGGGACCTGTGTCGCGTGTGCCTGGAGCCTGGGCTGGAGCAAGGCAGAGGACGTCCCAGAAGCAGCATCCTGTGGCCGCCCGGCTCAGTCACAAGCAGCCCACCCAGGGCCTAGTTGTCTCTTGGCAGCCCCAGTCCTCATGTCCAGGAGGCTTGCTGGTCCCCCAATGATCAAGTATTCATCCAGCACTTTCTGTGCATCTGAACTGAGCTGGGGCAGAAGGGCAGTAAGACAAGCAGCGTCCCTCACCCTCAGGTCTCACGGACAGCCAGGAGAAGATGATGAGTGATAGATGCCAAGCCCAGCAGGTCAGGGTCTGGGGGAGCCCGTGCAGAGGCGATTCACAGTGGGTGGGAGGAAGTGGATCCAGGGGTGCTGCCCTGAGCTTAGGCAGTGGCTTTTTATTAGGCTCCCATGGAAGCAAATGAAGGTCTTCTGGGAGGAGTAAAACGGCTAAAGGAGGGAAAAGAGACAGATCTGCAAAATGAATGGCAGTACTGGGGGAAGACTGCAGGGAGGGGCTTGTGCTGGGTGTAGTGGTGGCCCAGCAGGGTCTGCACAGGCTTTGCAGGAGCTGCCCGTGGGCTGGAGCTTAAAGGATGAGAGTTACCAGGCAGCAAAGGAGGAGACATGATGTGGAACGGCATGGAGCACTGAGGGGTCCGGTGTGGCAGGATCATGGGGTGTGAGTGGGATAAGGGTGGGAGATGACGCCCGGGAGAGACAGAGGCCACGTCACAGAGGGTCTTCGTTGCTGAGTGGAGAGGTCCATGTTTTATTTTGAAGGCACTGGGGGCTCCTCAAAGGGTTTAGAGCAGAGAAGTAGATTTGGTATTTTGACCACTTGGCCCAGTGCAGAGACGAACAAGTGGAGAAGCCAGTTAGGACTCAAGTGCAATAGTCCAGACCAGTGATGGGGAGAGCTGAACTAAGGCGGCAGAGTGGGGATGGAGAGCATTGGGAGGAAGAGGTCTGCAGGTGGCAGAATCACACAGGGTCACAGCACCGGGGGGCACCAAGCACACTGTCTTCTGCATGAAAGTGACCCCTGTTGTTGAGGAGGCTGGCAGTGCTGGAGAGCTTAGGAAGGCTTGGGCCACAGTGGTGCCATCCAGGATTCTGGCTGGCATAGCTGAGTAGTGTAGATCAGGATGGGCATGGAGCTCGCCTGACTCCAGGCAGTGGTTCTCCCACAGCTGTCCACTGGAATCACCAGAGGAGCTTTAGAAAACAGCGATGCCTGGGTCCCACCCTCAGAGACTCATTTACTTGGTCTGGGGTCCAGCTGGGCACTGGGATTTGTAAAAGCTCAAGGTGCAGCCAAATTTAGGAGCCGCTGCTCCAGGATGTCAACGAGGCTTTTCTGTAGGTGCTGCCCAACTGGTTTGGCTTCCCCAGGTGTCCTTGAAGCTGGTGCCCATTTCTGGGTCTGTCCCTTATCAGATGTTAGACACTCCAGGTTGATGACCAGGCCTCGGGTTTGGTTCACCCAATGCCATGTTGATCTCAGCCATAGGAAGATATCTTGGGTGAGCCCATAATTTGTGCTGAGGGCAGGCTCTGCTTCGGGGGGCTCTCTGAAGGACTCTGCAAACCAGCCCCAAGTACACCAGGAATTAGTTTTACCATCTTTTTAGGTCATCTCTTAGGAGCCTGATCTCTGGTATTCAGACTAAATTCTTCCCAATGAAACTAAAAAGAAAGAAAATTACATTGCATGTCCATGTCCCCACCATAGGGGGCACCATCTGGTCACAAGGCAGAGAGAATGGGAGAAGTTGGAGTTCAGTTCCCCATCCCTCAAATAGGCTGGCAGCAGACCTCAGCCGCTGGCCACCAGGCCTGATGAGAAATTCCCAACTCCAGCGAGCCAGTTCCCTGCCACAGCCCAGCCCAAGGAGGCTTCAGGTCCCTGCTTGTAAATGTTCAGTCCCCAAATCTGCTACCGCAGGTGACTCACAGCAAACAAGTGCTAACAATGAGCTGCACTGCTACCCCCGCCCAGCTTCCTTGACTCTCCAACTGCCTGGGGTCCGCATGGCCGTAACGTAACTCTCCATTACAGCCCACTGCTCCTTCCGTATGGCCCCAGGGCACGCTTTAACCAAACTTTAAAGCTCAGTGCTTTATCAGTAGTTTCAATAATTAATATCCCTTAAAAAAATCTAAGTGCAAACAGTTCATGCAAACCAGTGTCCATTAAAAGGATGTTTGAGTGCCTACCCCTTATTAAACAGTTTATGTAAACTACTGCTCCTTAAGACAAATCGAAATACCCCAGTCACCTCCAGTCTCCAAGCACTGAATGGAGGGGCATGGGTGGGAGGGACACACACACATGCTTTCAAAGGAAGTGGAGAAATCAAATCAGCTCACCTGTGATGTTATTTATCAGTGTAACTTAATAAACTGGCCTGGGAAAGGAAAGGTGGCACGTGGTCGGCAGGGTCAGGGGCGGCTGTGTGATGAGCTAAGTTGGGTTTGGCAATTAGGAGAGGAGTGATGAGACCAGAGCATGGCATGGCTGGAGGTCTAGTGGCAATGGCTTTCTGATCTCGGGCTGCCAGGTGTCCTGCAAGTGCAGAAATGAGGACCTAAATGCACAGACGCATCGGAACGCATCCCGGGCTGGGTCCGGTCCGGGCCTGGGCACACAGTGAGGCTGATTCTGAGCTCTCGCCTAGTTACCTCCACGTTCTCCGAGCTAGTCTGGCAGCTCTAGAGTTGTCTGAAATCTAAACTCTGCTGAGTACTCAGAAGATGTCTTAATGTTCAGCCACTGTCTCTGATGTCCAGGGGAGTTGCTGAGTTTGCAAGGAGCTTACCCAGTTCCTGGCTGCCTCGCCTGCTCTCTGTGGTGGCTGAAAACCATGCAGTTATTCTGCTACTGGAGATTGCCATCCTGGAATTTCCGGGACAGTCCCAGTTTAAAGCACTATGTGTGGCAGATGGATCATTCATCTCTATCTGGACTCCTTCATAAAACTCCACGAGAGGACAGTGACAGATGTTAAAGGCACAGATGCACCATGACAGGACAAAAGAGACGTCAGTGGACAAGAGATTAACTGCATTCTGCGGAGATGGAGAGTGGATGGAGCAATCGCAACTGATTTATCAGAAGAGTTTACAAAGGGGATATGGCAGACTCCTAGAAGGCTCAGAAACTGGGTGTCAGATGTTGTGGACTGTGAGGATGAGGTGCAAGCCCAAAAGGAGGGAATGGTTGAAATTCTCTAAATTGAGAGGTTGGAACCCAAATCTCCTGTCCCATCCCACACAGCCATCCCTGCCTCCATTTTACCCCTCCCCCTTTCTCTAAAGACCCAACTGGTGAGGCTCCAAATTTGGAGACTCCAGGAAAGGGGAGGACACTGATAGGGTTTGAGGCTCAAACAATGTTTCTCCTCTTCCTCTCTTTGTGCAATTTATTCGTTGAATAAACCTGGTCATGTGCCCTACAGAGTTTCCCACAGTCTGGATTTTGCTGATTGCAATCCAA